AAAGTTTGAACCAAAACTGGAATATCCGGAAGGCTGGGGTCAAACCAACAACAAACCTCTGCGGGAGGAGTATGGATATTATCTGGAACAACACAATCACTTCTCACCATAAAATGGTGAGGGGCATCCTCTTCAATGGGATATGGGTATCATTTCACCTTCCTAGTGTAATTTGCATGTTCATTTATCTATGTTCCACTTCTGCATCTATGTCTGAGATACACTGAGAATTTTGAACAACCCATCTTCAATGACAAATGCATGTAATCCAAACAACAGGCTGCTTGCAAGTTACAGAATTTTAACAAATTTATTGAAACCATATTACTAATTAACACTCTACATTCTGTCGGAAATGGCTTTGGCCAACACTTGGAGACAATGAAAGGTCATCTAAACTCTGCCAAAGGTCTTTTCGTGTGTTATTGCAGTGTCCATGCTAAACTTAAAATCACTGTATGTGGTCATGTGAGCCACCGGTAACTGTGCCCAAAGGACACAAGTAGAAACCGTTGGGAAACAAATTGGTAGTCAGTGCTGGAATGAACGAATTTTGCCAAAACTGTTCCTCTCTGAGGGTAAAATTGGCCTCGTGGTTTTCCCAGTGAGAAACTGGAAAATATCTTTAACACTTACAGGGCTGTCGGTAGACTCATTGTCTCCTGTGCAATAAGACAAAATATAAAAAGCTGTCAGTACTAGTTTATACTGACAATTAGCAACAAATCTATCAGTACTGGTTTATGATAGGTCTCTTTTCACTCTCTAGATTATGAGTGAAACACAAAATGAGATATACTAACTCCAGGAAAGAGAAGTTACCCCCCTATAAATATTGCAGGTGTGGTTGTTGAAAATTTTAAAAACACCCCTAAAACAACAAGAACAACAACAGCAACTTCATTTCACCTCAAAGGTACCAGACTCTCATTTAGTGGGNTCCCTGCATTCTAATAATTATTTTGGCAAAAACAGATTACTGAAATTAATATCACTGTCTAAATTACCAGATAAAAACTCCTTCCGCAGCCCTGCAGTGTCTATCCCAGACTCTTCAAAGAATTGTACTTTCAACACACCCTCCAATCTTTTTTTACGTCTTAGCTGCCTGATGCCTTCCCACAAAAGATCTTGTCAGATAACTCTCACATCGATTCATTCCTGTTGTTTAACTTTTCTGTAGACGATGCTTAAGATATCATCAAGGCTGTGGAAAAATAATATTATTTTTTAATACCAAATTAGGTTAATGTACTCAGTAATCACTAAAAAGCTAATCGGGTTGAGTAAAGGATATTAATTTTGACATATAGGAGGCTAAGGAGAAAAAAAGCACTTAATTAGTCAATAAAAAAAGAACAAGAAAAATAAGCAAACAAGCAAGCAAAGAAAAAAAAAACTGGCAATATGCTTAGCCGAAAAGAACAAAAATGAAACAGACTTTGAGAGAGATGTGATAAGTATTTTACAGG